AAATGTAGAAAATTCAACATATCTAAATAATTTCAAAAAATTTTGGATCAAAGCAATATTATATTGTGAATAATGTAACTCCTTAAGAATAAATTAATACTGAAACAACATTAGTTTAACAAGAAACAACTAAATATATATTCAATGACATCCAATGGGATGAGGTAGTTTAGGTAATTAAAATATAAAAAATGATTAATATATCTTTCAATTTAACATAACTATCAACATTTATTAATTTAATTATTAAATTTTATAATTTTAAGTTTTTTTATTTTTTATTTAAATTTTAAAAATAATAATTTTTCAGTAAGTGTATTATAAAATATGTTGAATCGAAAAGTGTTTGTATCAATTTTCTTATAAAATATAGATAATAGTTGTATATGAGTAGAGTATTCCTTGTACTTTGATAAAAAAAAAAAATTGATTTTGCTTTTCAATATATATAGATGGAGAGGAAGTAGAACATACCTGACAATGGCATCTCTTCAAATTTTTTTCCTTTTTGATTAATAGTAACATCAGCAAAATCGCTAGATATATGTACCTTTAAACCTTTTAATAACAACAATTAATATTAAGATTAAATTAATTACTAAAGAAAAACAATTGGAGTATATAACAGAAAAGAAATAAAATAATTAAAAAAAAATGGCATGCTGCTTGCATTAACATGTGGCATAATTGGTTATAAAAAAACATTTGTGATTACATATTTTATGAGATTACCAACCAAACAACCAAATTTATGAAAAAAAGAAATGAAAGGACAAAAGTGGGGATCGATGGAAGTAATTAAAACGAAAGAATAAACGATACTCACACTCATAGATCCATCGTTGCCAAAATGTTAGCCCCCTTCCACTGCTGAATGCTGTTGGCGTTCGGACGAATCCATCCAAAAGATCCTTCCAATTTTCATCAATTAAACTTTGACCACCACGGTGAAGTACATCCAACATGATATCTACAGACATTAAAGTCATATATTAAAATGTTGTCACTTTTATATGTTTAATTACAGTATAAAATTTCATTTTGCGTCGTTAAACTTCGCATGCTCTTACCAAATCTTTGGGAACTAAAACACCGACTAAGTAATTGGGATCCTTGTTTTCCGTTTTCGCATGATAGGATTTCGAATGAGGTTTCAGAATAGAGAAAGTTCGTCACCTCCTTCTGCCCTGCTCTACATGCCGCTACCACTGGGATTTCTTGACTCAAATCTTTCATAGAAAGCAGAGTGGAGTCCTTATTAACTAAGTATTTTGCAAGCTCGGTGTTTCCAGACCAAGCAGCATAACTTAGAGCTGTACCCAAATATACATCTTTCTGTTGTACTTGCAGTGCAGGCATACTCTCAACCAATGCCTTGACAATGTTTGACTTGCCAACAATAGTTGCGTGATGAAGAATAGGGAGACCCGTCCATAATACCAAATTATCTGCCTCTGAATTTCTCTTATAAAAGTCCATTACAGCATTAACATCCCCTTCGTCAATTGCATTCTGCACAATTAGGGACTGAAGCCTTTCCATAGTTTGGAACCCTGCAAGGATTCAATTAAAGCAGACATTATGTAAGTTCGATTGAAAAGGGGCTGGAGAATGCCCCTTTTCCCTAAATAAAATTCATTCCTTTGGCTGATAAAAATAAAAATTTAAATTTAAATAATTTTGAGGCAATATATATTATGATAAATCACATTTAAGACGTATGTATTTTATTAGCCAAAAAAAAGACATATTTTAGTAATGTTTCATTTAATTTAATAACGCAGGGTCAAAAATAAATTAATGTATTTTTTCTGATAAAAACATTGTAGGAGTTCATTTCCAGTTTGTGTCAAGATTAATAGGATTTGAGTACATGTATTAAACTGCAATAAAGATACGCATTAATTTTGCAATGAAAAGATAAGCATTTACTGTATCTTTATTTTTTTTAATCCATATCCATCCCAACCTTCGTAAATTTCGATTTTTTAGTAAAATATTAAAAATATAATAATTAATTGATAAAATTTTATATGAGAAATAAAAAAAATCAAGATGTCTTAACATTAAAAATGTTAAAATGTCCAATCACAATTATTAAATATATAAGATACAATATGAATCCTAATTTTATCAAATTCATCGTATGATTAATTATTAGATATCTTGTATTAACACGATTAATTATTAGATATCTTGTATTAACACGTCTGATTTTTTCTTTTTTTCATTTTATACTTATTTTTAATTAATAATTATTATTTACATAAATTTTTTTATTTAATATATATTGATACCAAAGCTAAAATAAAATAAAAACATTAAAAAATTTTAAAAAATAGACAGCTAAATTAAAACACCTTAAATGAAGAATTTGGTTGACTAATAATACTCCCTTTGTTCAAGAAATTGTCATTTTTTAGACTTTTTTCTCTATTAAAAATTTTGAAAACAATTTTTAAAATATTTCCTCCAGTTGAATTTAGTTGTCTTAATTTAATTTTTACATAAAATTTGATCAAATAATTTTATATAATAAATAGATAATTAAAAAATTTTATACATAATATTTATTGTTTATTTTCATTTAAATAAAAAAATTTTAATTATTATTTATTTATTATGAAAAATTATCAAATTAAACTATATATAAAGATTAAAATAAAACAATTAAATTTGAGAAAAAAATAAAACAAATAATTAAAGTTGAAAAATAAAGAAAATGTACAACGACTTGTCTCTGTTAGAGTAAAGACAAGTTCCCACCATAACCAAAAACATGACCTGAAGTTACTTTTAATACGAAGAATTAAAAAAGAAAAAGTTAAAATCTCATTTTGATCCCTAAACTATTGTACGAACCTTTAATTTGATCCTTAAACTAAAAAAATCTTTAATTTAATCCCTATTATTTATCAATTTTACTCCAACTTGATCCTTTCATTAAAAACCCACCGTTACCTCACAGAACTTTAATAACATGTCAAAAATTTAAGACACATCAGTTGTACAAATGAATAAATGATGACATGGCAACATTGACATGTCATTTTCATGCCCCAAAACAAAAAAGTGAGACCCATCAAAATTATAATTTTGCCATCACCTTTTTCCTCTAGCAAACAAACCTAGCGCCTAATTGAACCCACTAAGCGCCCTTTCTTTTTCCTTCCTCTTCCTTGCCTTGCCTTCTTCATCAATCAATTCTTCATCTTCATCAATCGATTCTTCATCATCATCAAACAACCAAAGCCACAACAAAAAAATAATAATAATGATAATAATAATTTTTTGCCCTTGGGTTTGATGAACCCGCACCTATGTTCTTCGAACCCACGCCTGGGTTCCTTCAAAGAACCCAAGTGCAATGGGTTCTTCAAACCCATGCTTGGGTTCAAACCCAACGCCTTGGTACTTCAAACCCGCGCTTAGGTTCCTTCAAAGAACCCAAGCATGTTGGGTTTGAAAAGCCTAGGTTCTTCGAAGGAACCCAAGCATGCTAGGTTCTTTGAACCCACACTTGGGTTCTAAAGAACCCAACAGCTGCTGCTGGTGTTTGCCCTCTGCTCTTCTAGGGTTTGAATGGGGAGAAGGAGAGAAGATAGTGATTTTAGCAAGTGGTGAGCCCTGCGTTCTATTTTTTTTTTTTTTTGCTGGCTAGGAATCTGACGTGTTTTAATGACATGTTTTCTATTTTTCCATGTGTACAACTGATATGTCATCATTTTTCATTAGTTAACGAGACACATCATTGGATTTTTAACTAAAGGATCAAGTTGGGGTAAAATTGATAAATATTAGGGACTAAAAGAATTTTTAGTTCAAGGACCAAATTGGAGTTTTAACCAAAAGAAAAAAAAGCATGAAGTGCACCTTAAGGGGACTATGACATAAAAAACCGTTGTAGCAGAATCCAAAACACACTGCAAAAACACAATGATGAGAGAGAATGAGAGGTGGCAAACCTCGCTTTTCCCGTAGATCAATAAAATCATCACGGGGAGGACCATTTCTTTTATGCTTCAAGGTATCCCAAGCAGTTTTGGCGGAAGTGATCTCCTCAATTACATCAAATGTTTTTGGACTACATGAAATCTGAATTGCATGCAGAGCAGCAGCATCCTTTTTAATCCACTCCTTTGTATCAACTTCATCTGGCGCCGAACTGTGTAGAACAACATCCCAAAGATCTTGAGAAACTAAATAGCTTTTCATACAGATGCTCCATCTCTTATAATTGTCACTTGCTAGAAGTTCAGGGACAATCATACTTGCAGAATTAATCTAACCACATATATTAACAAATGAATATCAGAATAACAAGTGGCCAGCTTGAAAGCCAAATTAACATCCCAAAAGATGGGGAAGCACAAAAGGAAAAAAAATGCTAATCTTGCCTTTGGAGTTCTTCTTCTTCTTCTTCTTCTTCTAAAGTGAGATTTAATTAGAATTAAATTGGCCTTAACTAATTCCATGATTTAAAAGTCTGAAATTGAATTCTACACATTATAATGGTATCAAGCAAATGAGTATAGAATTACATGCAAATAAAATTCCACATCTTTTGCCAAGTTCATTTAAACCAAATGCAATCGAAAACACATGATGTCATAGAGAGAGATATGGAAAACCTGAATTATCTGTTTTTGATTTCTCTTCTTCAATATGTATTCTTTTCAACTTATCCCAAGCTTCTATTGCCCAATGGATGTTCTTTATCTGATTAAATTTTTCTGCTCCACATGAAATTTGAATTGCATGCAGAGCAGCAGCATTCTTTTTTCTCCACACCCTTTTAGAAACTCCAAGAGGCGTTGACAAGTGGTGAGTAACCACCCAAAGATCTTGTGACACAAAGTAGTTTTTCATGAAGATACTCCACCTCTCATAGTTGCCTCTTTCTAGAAGTTCAGGGACAATCGGACTTGCCACCCAAAGCGGAGGATTGCTTGCCTTTGGAGTGCTTTAATCGGTTTCAGGTTCTATTTTATGCATTTTGGCTAACATATCCAAAGCATCTTTTGCTGAACGTGTATACTTTATACGAACAAAGCTTTCTGGTTCGCATGAAATCTTAATGGCATTCAGAGCAGCAGCATTCCTTTTTCTTTGCTCAGATTCACTAAACAACTGTTGCTCAGGGCCGAATGGAACAATAATACCATCCCAAAGCTCTTGAGAAATCAAATGGTCTTCCATGAAAATGCTCCAACTCTTATAATTGCCCCTTTTTAGAAGTTGAGGGACAATCAAAGTTGCAGCACTAGTATTTGTCATTGCCATAACGTGGATGATCTAACTAAACAAACAATATATAGTTATATACAGCAAATTAATATACATCATGAGAATGACAGAGAATAAAAGATCGATGGGTACAATTTTTGTATAGGGAAAATCGTTTATCAACTGAAAAATTAGGTAAAAAATACTTTAAAATTGAGTGAAATGAACTTTATTTACCGAAGTGAAATATATTATTTTAAAAAATAAAATTAAGAAACTATATATGATCATAGTTTAGGCTACTGCATGCATATACCTCGATCAAACTGAAACTTTAGTAGCTACCGGAGGCTATTAGAGAACTCAGTGTACTAGATAGTAATTATAACGGATTAAACTAAACTGCTTATAAACTCATACAACGAATCAGAAGAGGAGAAATCTTTAATTAAGGTAACCTTACTTTAATTCCTCAGCTTCTTTGCTGCTGCTTGATGCAGATGTCGTAACCTTACTTTAATTCATCAGCTTCTTTGCTGTTGCTCGATGCAGATAGCTAGGGATCTAGGAAAGAAGAGAATTAGAAGAAAAATATAAGAAAAACATGAACTCTAAGAGAAAAATCTTATTTAAGTGTTTCAAGATACCAAGATTTGGGTTAAACTGCGGATTTATCGCCAAGAAAGCCAGTCAAACCCCAGGTGGGTTTCATCAAGAGCAATGAAATTGAAAGAAATGAACAAATATCAGTGAAATCTGACCTCACATTCAAAGAAAATCAGCAAAATCAATTTGAAATCTCAAGAAGATAAGCTGACATAGACAGCAGCTTCCCTTGGGAATAGTAACGACCAAATATTATTTTCAAAAATATTAATTTAATTTAATTTAATTAATAATTATAATTATTAATTAATAATAAGTAAAATAATTAATATTTATTAATTAACGAATTAAAATTAATTAATAAATTTATATTTTTAAATACTAAAAAAGAAAAAGAAAAAAAGGGAGTGCTAAGAGCACTTGCCCTAACACTTGCTCCTTCCCACGTCAGTTAAGACACAAATCGAAACCGGCTATAATAAGTAAATTGTTAAAAGACAATTATTTAATAAACAATAAAAAGTATAAAAATTTATGCATGTTAAAACACGAAAAAATGCAAAAGCTTTTAAATACTCTGCATTTTCTCTCTTACGCCATGGCCGCCTGCTCCGATAAGGTCTAATTTTCCTATGCCACAGTCCAGTACTTTTTCTCTTTCCTCCTCAAAAACACATTACTGAGCGCTGCCATGGTAGCTGGAGTATACATGTTTTGCCTCCAACAAAGCTAAACACTTTTAACATGAACTGTGAAGGAAGAAAGAGAAAAGTAAAACATACCGTTTTCCGTCAAGTGATTTAGGAATCTAGTCAAAGGACTTCGTTGCCGGAGCAATGAGGAAGATCCACCGTAGTATCCGTGTAGAGCACCTTTAGACTCTTGTGGGTCGTTTGATGAGTTGACCTTGCAGGTGGACTCAGAGGTAAGTGAGGAGAAGTCGGCGGTGAAGTAGTGGCCAACGAGATTGGGATTAGAAGGTGCTGATCCGATGGCTGAGCCGTAGCGGATTAGCACAGTGGACCTAGTACTTTTCATATTTTTCTCTTTTTTTTTCTCAAATTTTTGTCTACTAATCTGCACTACAAATCATTAGAAGGTATGAAAATTTCAAAACTTGTTTCATTTTTTTCCAATAATTATCACTCTCAAAAGATCTTAAAAATTTCATCTCGTTGAAGAAAGGTGGGAAATAGAGAGAAAGGTAGAAAGAAAGAAGAAATAATAAAACGATATTTTTTTTTCGGTTTGCCGCTCGGTATCGAGGCTTCGTCTTGATTAATTCGGACTCTACTCGCGTTGCGCATCTGAAAATGGTAGGTGAGTTTCCCAGCGGAGGCTATTGCATACACAAGTTCTCAAACTCGAGATTTTGTTTAAGTTAAAACAAATAGCTTACCATTTGATCCAACCCTCGTTGCTAATAATAAAACGATATTTAAAGATCAAGAAAGCAGGAGAGCAGAGATATGGTACCGACAGGACAAGATTTGAAGATATAATTTTGTTCACCCTTGAAATGAAATGAACAGCGAAGAGTAAAGGAAGAATTCCAACCGAAGAAAAAATAAGAAGAAGAAATTGATGGTAAGCGGGACCCACAATCTTGCTGAAGTCTTGCAACTGATTTCAATTTTTACTTTAAAAATGTAAGGTACGTGGTGAAAGAAGAGGGAGAGTGGTGCAGCAAGTGACTAAAACAGCGATTGCCCTTTGCTTTTCTCTTAAAAAAATATTAGTGGCCTTTAAGTTTAAAATTTTTGAACTGGCAAAAAACACCCCCGTCCCCTTTGGAGGTCTGGCCATACAAAAAAATGGAAGAGATGAAAAGGACTGAGGAGACGTGTCTGATTAAATAAAGGGTAGTACGGACCCAGAGGAAGCTAGATCAGTTTTTTAAAAAAAGAGGAAGGAGAAATGATAAAAAATTTTTGATTTGAAAATTTTCAAATACTTTATAACCTATAAATTCTCATCGGTGAATGGCAAAGGAAAAATATTACTCCCTTTGGCTAGTGATAGAAGTTTTAATTTAAATTTTTAATTTTTTTAGTAAAAAATTATATTATAATTTAAATTATATTAAATTATAAAATAATAATATTTAAATTAAAAAAGACTTCTTAACATTGAGTTTTTTTTTCAATTTAAAAAATTTAATTTT